AATAGATAGAATAATCTTTCTGTAATTAGCAATAGCAGCTACATTGTGTTTTACATTTTAATTCCGCAAGAATTGCGCTAATAGCTTGTAATATATGTTGAAGTCTGCTGTTTTCCTCTCAATCTATTCTTAGGTTTTGTCTAATGCAAAACACAGACTTCAATACCAGTTAAAATTAGCCGAAAAAAAACTATAAAAACAATGCGAATTTTTGATTAATTTCGAAGCCATTGTTTTCTATTTCATGTATTTTGACCACAGCTTCGAATGAAGTTAAAAAAAAAGACTCGATCATGCTTGATATAAACATTTCATAATAACTGCATCCTTAAAAAGGAAAAAAAATGTCAACTTTGACAGCATGTAGTTGTAAAGATTTGATCGTTATTCAGGCAATTATAGATGAAATTTATTGAAGGAGTTAATACGTATTCGTTGGAAGTGATTTTTTTCTTCAAATTCTCAGGACACTCAGAACAAAAAAAAAGCAAATCCGTGGAAGTGAGTCTATAAGCGACATTTCCTTGACATTAAGAGCTATACATAAGAAGTAAAATTATCATGAAACGATGTATACTTGGTCTAAGTAATACTTTAGTATAAAATCTATTTCACAGATTATCAATCATGTCTTCAAGATTTATGAGATTGTCTTTATGATCAATAAAAGACAATCCGATTGAGAATATTTAAAATTAACGACAAAAAAAAAACGAATATTTAATTTCTTATCAAATTCCTGATATCAAATAGTTCCTCATTTTATTTTTGATCTATATCATACTTTTTTATATTTACTCTCTTGAAAATCTCTACAAATATTTTCATGATATTACATATGTTTTTTCTTTCTTTTTTTTTTCCTATGTAAATCAGTTATAGAAAAATGCAAATTTATTCTTCATTAGTTTTATCATATAAATATTCTTTTATGATAAATAATATAAAGATCGTAATCATAGAATATTATCAAAAAAATGATTCAAGCATATAACTATTAGATAAAATAAACTATGTTTATTTAAAATCGTTCAATTTTGAAAAATTTCTTAACATTACAAAAAATTCTTTTGTATATTTTCTTTCTTAAATATATATATACAATTATTATACATTTAATATAAGATTAAAGATTAACATAAGTATACAAGTTGGAAAAAATTTTGACTAATAAATTAAGCAATCGAAAAATCATACATTTTAAATAATATCAAATAAGGAAAAAATCATGACTTAAAAATCGATATTACAAAATGAAAAACGGATATATTGATATTTTTGCGCACCTGATAAACAGAAAGAAAAATCAATATATATATATTTTTTCTTTTTCTTTCTTCAAATAATGACGACTTGCAAACGTGGCTTTTTGATGTAATTCGTGTTTCTTGGTTATCATTATGTGTTTTTTCCAACAGCTATAGCGTATATATGTTGGCTTCCGATTTCGAAAGTCATGAAACTGGTCTATATATAAGAACATGAGTATAAAAAAGTTATTTCAATAGTTGATATACGAATTCAAAAATTTATCGAATAGAAAGAGTAAATCTATACGAATTATTTTCTCATACAATTTATAGTTGAATAATAAATATTGAAGATGTTCCAACCTGATAAACACGATGGTATGAATTACTGATATGTTTAATTGATTGTTTATTTTTGTATTTTATTTTAGCCATTGCAACAGAGTGGTACATGAATTCTAGCACTCAGGTTTGTAGTGTACATTTTTATTTTATTGAAAATACTAATAAACGTAATGTTTGTAGACCAATGACACAGCTGGTATTACGTATGAAATAAATAATGGTGGTGGTGGTGCGTAGATTTCGACATCAACTTCAGAAAATGATTGCATTCATTTTTGGTTTAATGCATTTAGTTTTTACATAGAAAATATTCGGTAAATCAAGATGATAATGTCAGAATCGTTTATGTAAATATTTGAAATGAACTGAATGCAACTATAATAAAATGGTTACATATAAATTATCATTTTGTGCTTCATATTTTTTCGGTAATTTTTCAAAAAATCTTGTGTGTGATGATTATATATTTATTTTATTTGGGAGTATTTTTTTAAAATAAATATTTAAAAACAACATTTCAAATATTCTCTTTTTAATCTTGACATTCAAGAAAAAGAAAAGGTATTAATTTGATAATGATATTCTTGACAAATATATTTATAGAATAGTTATAAATAAATATATGAAAGAAGGTATAAATCTCTACTTGAATAATTATCTAATAATGTTAATAATTTATGTATAGAAAAAAAAAAGATATAATTAATGGAATAAAGTTGAAAATTAATATGCTAGATAGATAAATATGTTTACAAAAATCAAAAAATAATCAAAGTTTCATGTGATATTTACTTTCTTTTTTTTTATGGATACAAAAAAAGAAACAATGTGTATCTCGTAAAGAATGTTGAAAATTTTGAATTTATTAATCTGTCTCTAGTAAAGGTTACGCGATCATCTGGAATTTATTTTCATTCATATAACTTAGACTTGTTCTAATAAGATGATAAGATTCATATGACAGTATACAGTACGAATAACTAACATTTCATAAGCAAATAAATTTTTGTTAATGAAAACATATGTTCACATTAATTAGTTTATATAAGAAAAAGACAAGTCAAATAAATATTTATTGTAATATTACGATATTTTATTTATTTAGTTATTAAATAAAAGAATATTGAAGAAATGTGTCAAAAAATAGATTCAACAAAACGATCTTCTTGTGATTAACAACAGCAACTACATCGTGTTTCACATTTTAATCTGGTAAAGATTGCGCTAACAATTTTTATAATTACAGAACATTACTTTTATTTTTAGCAAAGATTAAATTGAAGTTCTTTAAGATGTTCGAATGAACTTTTTGAACAGAAAATAATAGCTACATCAATCATTTAATGTTTTTTTAATTATAAATTCGTTAATGAATATATTTATTTTAACAAATATTATCTTTTAATTTTTTTTACAAAAAAAAAGTAATGTTTATTTGTTAATAAAGCTTTACGTATATTCTACAATATAAAACTATTCAATTTTTTTAATTTTATTTTGTTAATTTTATTATAATGAAAAGAATATTTCTAGAGATATTTTTAAAACATTAGCATTTTTTCTTTAGATATAATCTAAATATTCGACCTGCTTCTATATACTCAACAAGTTGACTAATATACTTATAGTTTTATCCGATTTTTTTTTCAAGTATAAGAAAACTTATTTGAAGCATCTATAAACATTTTTTTGTAGAGTATATAATTTTATGACAATGGAAGTTTTTCGAAAGAAAAAACAAGAAGTTTCTTTTTTGTATCGATTTAATAATCAAGTCATTCGATAACTTATTCGTGTGAATTTGAATATATTTTTCAAAATATCTATATAATTAATTCGATATTCAATCTATAATATATCGACCTAATTCGATTCTTTTTAAAAACAAACTTCACACTTATAAATAATAATCGAGCTCAAAGTCCATTTTCTTATATCTATTTCTCTAGTGATATTTTTTATTTAGTCTATGATAAATTGTTCTTTGCCTGAGAAAAACGAAATAACTAAATCATAGATATCGATATTTTATTTTCGTCTCATGCATCTCTTAATGCCATTTATTTGACAAATATCCTTTCGTAATTTAAAAGAAAAAAAAAATTGTATTGTATCTTGGAAGCCATACCTATAATTTATAACATTTGCAAGTACTAATGACATCATTTTTCCAATTCAAGCATATGACACAAAATCACTTTTATTAATCTATTATTCTTAATCATGATAATAAGCTAATAATTTTCAACTTATAATTACATAAAATTTACATCGATTGTGTTTATGAGATGTAAATATTCGAAAACATATCGAAGCATATGTAATAAAATTTTCTTTTTTTTTCAATGCATACTATTAGCAATAGCACATGCTGTAAATCTGTCACCTTTCAATAGTATCAGTACGAAAAAAAAAGAGCGTCAGATTATTTTCTTTCTCACTGAATCCAATATTGTGCATGATATTCTTCGAAGAGAAAGATTTTTTTTCATTTCCAAGAAAATCTATGTCATGAAATCATGATATTCAAAGAAAAAAAAATCTTTTTTTTCCTATTTCTTTCAATCTTTGAAAATCACGATAGTCCAGACTATATAAAGAGGTAGATATTCTTCAATATAAAAATTAAATTACAAACTACAAATATATTTGTGAGATTTATTAATAACAAAAAGCAAAAAAATTTTTTTTTTGTATCATAATTAATACAATGTTTAATCCATCGAATTGTGATGGTAAATAAATTTAATTTTTAATTGAAATTAATTAAAAGTTTTTCAAATTTAGATGATGCAATTAAGATGTGTAGCGAGACTAATATACAAGTAAATAAAATTAATTTATCTTTATAATATAATGAATAAATTTTTTCTTTTATCTCGTTAGAGTAATAATATAATTGGTTTAGCATTTACATCAAGTAATAATGATTATCAAATATCTTCACCTTGAATTCAAAATCGATTAATCAAAGATCATACACGCCTTGCATTGTTGATCAAATGATTATAATCGATGTCTAGAGAAGTGAACAAAATAGAGCGATCGATGCATATTTGCGGCAGATCAATATTTGTTTCTTAAGTATATACTCATGAAATATATATATATATAAATATTTTTATGTAACAAAAAATATGTAATTAAGATAACTTTTTACGGTTATTTGTCTTCTATATTCTATTTATTTTAAGAATAAAAAACAAAAAATTAAATAAAGTTAAAAACAAAAATCTAAATTATTTTGTTTAGAATGAATGATAAATTTGCATAAAATAAAGTATTGCGTGTACTAAATATTAAAAAGCTAAAAGAAATATAATCACTGGTACAAAATCAAAAGAAGCAATACTAATACTTTTCATATAAGATTAAGATATATATATATATTAAGTAAAGTTATATTTAAAATACATTATTTGAAAGCCAGTCAATATCAAATGAAGCTATTTGTTGAATTTGTTCGTTGTTTGTAATAACATGAGCACATGTTTCATCAACATTATTCAATGCAAATATTAATTCTAAACAAATATTGAAAATAAAATTTTCATATAAATTAGACATTACATTGTTTAGAGTACTATTTGAGAATAATAGAATAATTCAATCCAAAAAAAAAAAACAATGATTTAATATGAATAGTTAATGTTTCCAATTATTCATTACTCTTTTACTACTCAAATATTCTCAAGAATGATTTTCCTTACCATCAAGTGTCCATGGAATATTATCATATGTATGTGTTTCTGTTATTATATTTAATTTATTCATAATTTCATCAGGATTTTCTATTTGTAATAAACGAAGGAACTGAATAACTCTATAAACACAAACAAAAGACAAAATATTTATTCACAGGGAAAAAACCAAAATGTTTTGTTTTTCTTCTTCTTACTGTTGTTGTGTAATTATTCCATTATGATCGATATCAAATATATCAAACCATCGTTGAACATCATTTGTTGAATAGTATCCATTATTAATAATTGGTAAAAAAATATCTCGAAATTCGATCCAATTTATGAATGAATCTAAATAAATAAAATAATTTTATATAAAATACATGAAAGAATTTCTTTTTCAAACTTGTATTTTGTTTTTTATTAAGATATAATTCAATAAATAATTGTAAATCATCATATGATATATTTATATTATTATTAATAAATTCATTTATTATTTCTATTGATAAATTTTTCTTATTACTATCCAATTGTTTACTATCAGGATTAGCACCTACGTTTTTGAATATTCTACCAAGTACTACAAACAAACAAAAAAAATCGAATTTTTAATAAATAGAAAAAAAACAAGTTTTTTTTTTACAAGATATTTCTTTGTTAAATTTATCATTAGTTTTAGTTGGAAAATTTCTACTTGATATTTCTAATGATATAGCTTGACTATCCAATGAAGTTTGATTAAACCATTGTTTATTTTCAGTTTCTTTTGATAAGATATGTTCATTAATATCATCTGTTTTTTTAATTGCTTCAATTAATTCTATAAAAATTCAAATTTAAAATCAAACAAAAGAAAAAGAACTTTCTATTTTTCTTTTTTTTTTTTTTACCATCAACACTTAATTTTCCATCGTGATCTGTATCATATTCATCGATAATATTCTGTGCAAGACTAATAGTATTATTAGCTTGAAGAATTTCAAGTAATTCTACAAAGAAATTTTATTTTTGTTTTTTAAATACAAAGAATAAAAAAAAATAAATGTTTTTTTTTTACCGGCTATTTCTTGTAATGATAAATAACCATCTTTACTTGTATCAAATAAATCAAATAATTTTCGAATATGTCGTTCCGTATAACGACCAGTTATTATAGGAAAAAGAATATCACGAAATTCAATCCAATCAAGTGTTTTAGGACGATCTTATTGAAAGAAAAGAAAAGAATTATCAAAATTTATTCATACACCAAAACCAAAACAAAAACTATTCGTTTTATTCTCTTAATTTACTATCTTGTGCAGCTGATTGTAGAAGATATTTTCTAAGTAAACTATCGAATAATGTTCGTATAAGTTGATCACGAAATTCCAAACGATCAAGTAATTTATCTGGTAAATCATAATTTATTTCAACTAAATCTTCATCATTGGCTAATTCATGAAATACATAACGAAGATCTATAATAAAAGTAATAAATCGATATGTAAAATATCAAACATATGTATCTATTTCGATACATAGGAGATCATAATTTAATAATTGACAAGTAATGACTGAGAGCAGTTTTTTTTTCTTTACGAACTGAAGGTACTACAGTATTCATTTTATTTAAATACGTATTAAAAAAAAGTGTTCAGACATCTCTACTCATTATATGATCAATGTAACAAACTTGAGTACAAGAATATTCACAAAGTGAGGATGACCATTTTATTCTTGATTTATTCACACTACAATTCAATCTTTTCCACCTACGTATACATGTTTATATCTATATAAGTGATGAAGAGATAAGGAAAGGCAATCAAGTGTATCGACCATGAAAAGAGAGAAGAGACACATATATAAAAAGTAGAGAACTGCAGATCCACGCTTTTATGAGCTCTGATCCTAGTTTTTGTTCACCAATATCTGACATTTTCTGTTCTTGTTGCTCACTTTCTCATCACTCGATGCTTAATAAATTACAAGTTTACGTTTACGAGGGAGTCTCTTCAACTGTCTAGCTTCCGTTTTTAATGATTTTTGTTTTTGCCTATAGATATTACATAGTATTATAATAATGTCTTGTTTTCTAGAGGTGCTAGGCTTTCAAAAAACTCGTATTTTTGAATTTTGATCTGAAATTTTACGTATATAGAGAACTCAATTAGACTAGCTTCGATAAAAAAAGCTCAGAAGTTTTGAACAAAGTCTCTTCGAACTATAAAACTTTCAAAAAAAAATGCATGTTCTATTCACGATCAATAGAAAAGGGTCTAGATCTTGAATGTCTCATATCTCGAAGACACTTTTTTCAAAATATCTGAATTTTTCTTATGAAAGCTAATCTAGTTGAGTTCTCTATATGTGCAAAGTTTCAGATCAGAATTCGAAAATACGAGTTTTCTGAAAACCTAGCACTTCTAGAAAATATACATATTATAAATACTATGTAGTATCTATAGGCAAAAATTTATTGAAATCGGAATTGGGACAGTTAAAGGGGTTCCTCGTTAGTTAAAAAGAGCATTATGTTAATCAAAAAGAAAGTTGAACAATTCATTGATATAAACGAAATTCGCTATTAAAAATCGTCAAACCAATAGTAATACCAAAAACTTCAGCTGTATAGAATAGTTTTAGTTGTATTTACATAAACAATATCAAGCGAGAATATATTATATACAATCTAAGAAGATGCGAGTTCACATTTTAATGGACTCGAATTCGGATCTGAAAGAGCTCGCAGCTCTATAATACAGAGTGATCAAATATGAACAGAATGATTACAAGGTTGATAACACCAACGAGATAAAGATGAGAATGTTACATTTCATTACAATCGATATCAACGTAAATAGTAAATACAAAACTTTCATAGTTCAACATCTATTATCCAATATATAGGTTTCTGAAAAATATTCTTCCAGAGTCTAACAACATAAGAGATATTTTATTTGAAATGAGTAAATGATGAGAGTAAAAAAGATTATGGCAAATATGAAAGGAGAAATATTAAAAGTTATTGATAGTAAACTCCATGTGATTCAAATTAGACAAAGACTCTTGGTTGTTTACACCAAGGTATTATAAAGTAGTAAGTTTTAATTAGATATATTAACAAAGTCTAGTCCGTTTTCACTGACCTTGAATAATAACTGCTAAATTTGGATCGTTATCATGTTCGGATGTTATTTCAACTTTTTGAGAAGTTGGTAAATCAACTTCTAAAATAAAATAATGAAAAAATTTTTGTACAAAATTAAAATAAATGATAAGTTTGAATTTCATTTTCTATTAATTATTATTACCTTCAATATTAGATAATGATGTATTACTTGATGATTGTTTGCTTCCATCTCGTGGTAGTAAAGAATTACGTTCATCTATCTTATCATCATTATGATCGCTACTGATTATTGTTGAGGAAAAATAGTCAGTTGTATAATTCTCCTGTGTTTGACTTGTAAGAGAAGAACTAATTTCTTCTTCTCTTTGTGTTTGTTCTGATATGTCATCTTGTTTTAATTCTAATTTATTATCATTATTCGATAATATTGACGCAATATTTTCCTGAATATCAGTACTTGTTGTAGGAGTGTCCACGAAAGGAAATATCTGAATTTCCGATGCTGTTTCACGATCTTCTGGAATTATTGAAGATTGTTCATGCAGATCAGAAGCTAATTGTTGATATTCTGTAGTGATTGTTTTGGTAGGTGAAGAAGGTGATCCTTGAATATCAGATAGTTTTGTCGAAGCATCTGAAGAAATACTTGATAATGATTGTGATACTTCAGATATGGTTCGATGATCTTCTGATAGAGCCGAAGGTGAGTGAGAAACATTTTCAGAAGCTGTTTGATCTTCTTGGAGTGTTGAAGTAGTAGGTAAAGTTGGCGATTTTTGGATTTCAGATAATGTTTGAGGTTCTTGTGGAGATGTTAAAGATGAATGACGAATTTTGAATAAATCTGAAACAGTTTCGGTTGGTGATGTTTGCTGATTTGTTGATGGAATTATTGGTAATGATCGAAGTTCACTTGGTGTAGCGGTTAATTGTTGAATTGGAGAAAATGCTGATTGATCTTCTCGTATTACTACCGGAGGAATAGATGGAGTAGGAGATTTTCGTGTTTCTGAACTTGCTGAAAAGATCTGTTGAGCTTCAAATGATGAAATCAATTGATCTTCTGTAAGAACAGTAGTCGAAAGTGAACTTGAAGATTTTTCAATAACTTATGAGCTAATATTCATACTTATTCTATCTTGTTCTTGTTCTTGATTGAATGGTTCAATCACTTGTTGCCATGAAATGTCTTGAGTTACAAGTTTTCCATCATTAGATGAAGTTTTTGTTGATAAAACATCATTAATTTGATTATTTTTATCTTCTCCAAGTGTATCATACTCTGATTGAATTCTATCACGATTTGTTAGATTCTTTAGAAAAGAAAAAAAAAGGAATTCAAACTAAACTTTATTAGTTTTTTTTTGTTTCTTTTATCATACCTCCTCTTGTTGATCATTAAATTTACTTTGATTTGTACTACTTGTCAACGATGTTGTTCTATCTATATAAACCAATATTTTTTCAATCAAAAAAAAAAAATCAACAAGCATAGCTCAATTTATTTTACTAAATAACATTTATTATCTAATTCGTTTCTTTTCAATCTATGCCCTTCAAATTAAACAAATATAGAAGTCTCACATATGTCTGTGTTAAATTGCATTTCAATCCAAATAAATGTCTTCTATACTTATATGCAATAGAAAATCGAAACGATGATCACCAAAAAAAATTTGTGTCAAACTTAACTATTTATTCAAATGATGAAAGTTAATTGTATTGAGTGCTTCTAATATTTATTTAGTTATTTGTCTGTTCTCACCTATTATCAAATTATTATTGGTTTGTAATATTGTTGGTCTTCTTAGATAAGAAGTATTAATTGATGATTGTTTCTGTTTTCGTTTATATTCACTTTCTAAAACTCCTCGATAAAGTGTTAATTCAAATTTTAAATTTTGATCATATTCTACTAAATGATTTAATTTTTCTTTTAATATTTGTAATTCAATTTTACTATATTCAATTTCATTATCTTTCGATGTTAATTGTTGTATACGTTGATCACGTAATGAATATAAATCAGTTTCCTATAATATAGGTTATTGTTTAATTTAAAAAAAAGAAAAGAAAATATTATTAAACATACCATAGCAAGAATTTGTTCAGATAATATTTGATTATGATTATTAATTGTTGTCAAATCTTGTAAAACTAATTGATATTCTTCTTGAAGTCGTTCACATTCTATTTGACTTGTACGTTGTTGAGATATTGTTAATTCATTAATTTTTTGATGATTTGTAAAATTTTCTTCAGATATTTGTAACATTTGTTTATATTCATTTTCAATTTGTTTTAATTGTGTTTTATTAAGTTGATTGAAATCTTCACGTATATATACTATGGAATCATTTAAATGTGATAATAAATATTCATTAGCTTCAATTTCTGTTGCTATAATTGTTTCATGTTCTTCATTAAGAAAATCTTTTGCTGTTTGTATTAATTTAATTTCTTCTTTTAATGTTTGAATTTGAAACTAAATTAAAAATGTAAGTAATAAAAAAAAATGAAAACCTTTTTTTTTTTTTTGTTTTTCTTTTACTTCAGTTTTTGATCGTTCAATACATATTTGTTCGAGTTGTACTTGTAAACTATCAACTTTATTCATAGCTTGTTGATGAGCTTGTTTTTCATTTTCAACATTATTTAAACAATTTTGTAATTGTTCGTTTAATTTAAGAAATTCATTACGAACGGAACGTTCTTTTTTTTGTAAAATATTTAAATGTTTAATTTGTTCTTTTTCATTACTAGCAATAAAATTAATTCGTTGTTTAAATTCTTCACGTTCATTAACAATACGTCTTGTATGTGCTTTGAATTTATAACGATCAATATGAGTTTCAGTTAATTTTTGACTTAATTGACGAAAATCATTTAATAAATATTTTAAATAATTTTCTAATGTTGAAATATAATTTGTACGTATTTGTTGAATATTTTCTTTTAAGTGATGATTATCATCATCAATTGTTTTTATATTATTTAAATAAGTTTGAAGATTTCCATTAAGATTATGAAATTCTTCTCGTTGTAAATTATATGAAATACGAGATTGTTCAGCTCGCGAAACAATATCATCAATTAATTGATCTTCTAATAAATAAAACATTTGTATGATAAAAATAAATAACTAAGAGAAAATTAAAAATCTAAAAGAAGAATACAATGAAATTGCATAAAAAAATTGTCAAATAATCATGCGGTTTTTTTTTGTTAAAGCAAAATTTAAGATTGTGACTACTCTAGGTTGTGATTCTTCTTTTTCTTTCTTTCTCTCTTCTTTGCGCTCTGATAAATGTACAGAGAAAAAAAAAGAAAAACTCAAAACTATTACTTCTTCCTTTCTCTTTGATATATGAACTCAAAAACAGGACAATGAATTTACAGATAATTTTTTCTAACATATAGATCATCGATTATTTTCTTACTTGTCAATTATATCAATACTTAATTGACACTAGTCAAATGATTGATCATGAGTATTAATTTTAACAATCTACAGTAATAAAGCCTTTTATGTCAACTTAATTATAGAGGTTTCAAGAACGAAGAGAAAAAAGAAAATATTGACTATAATGAAACGGTTTTGTCGTTTTATATCCTGTTTAGTATCGTCTGATGTAGTTATTAGCAAAAAAAAAAAGATCAAATGTTATATATTATTTTATAAGCAAACTGACGAGATAAAAATCAAAATGATATAATAGAAAATAAATCTGTATAATCAATTTTTATTGTATCTCGCTGCAAACAATAATATATATATATAAGATGATGATTGATATGCAAATGAAAATCAAAGTATAAAACTTTTACATACAGAACCCTTTTAACATGCTAGGATTAACGTAATATGTATCAAACAATCAATATTTTTATAGCATTGTATTTTAAAACTAAAATCTACTTGGTTTTCTTATAGAGTATTCTGTTTTCTTATTGTAAAAAAGAGAGAAAACAAGGTCGTTTTTTTTAATTATTTTTTTTTGTCGTTCAGTTCGTTGTGGTAGAATAAATAAAGACCATAATATTATCAGCAGCATCAGAAGCAGATTTTCAAATAGTAACACCTACGTATAATTCACATCCATTACATGGCATATAGGCCATTATATATGTATATTTAAGTAAGTCTAGTAGTGTACTTCATTATAACCAATAATGATGTTGATCACCATAGAAATAGCGTTACATCAATAGGTAACATATCCTAAAGAAATATGCATTTGATTGTCGTTCTCTTCATTATATTTTACTGATATTTTGCTGTTGTGTCCACATTCATATATACACGTATATGGGCATTCGTGATATTTAATAAATTCAAAAGACAAACATTATGAAAGCAAATAATAAACAGGCATATTGTCATTTTCACGTCAAGCTAAAACAATAACAAAAAAGGCACATGAAATTCAACGAAATTGACACTCGAGGCAATATGAATTTTATAAATGATATAAGAAAAATCTCTAAAATATTCAATAATATTTCATATACATTTAAATCAATGATAATCATATTTTCATTATGAGAGAGTACAAAATATTTTGTTATACTATATAATATCAATATGATTTTGTATTATATACGTAACTGAAATTAAATATTTATTATAAATTAGAATATAAATTGTTATGCTATATTACTGATAACTTATCATTCTTCTTTTCATATAATGTAACACATTGATTGAGTAGAGAATTTATCAATGATTTATTTGATGTTAAAGAAAAAATTTCGATGTACAGCAAAAAGAAAAACGACATTAAGTGTGAATAGTAGAGACAGCCTTGAATCTTTGGATCACTTTTTAGGTATAAAAATTGAAACCTATGAAAGTTTTTTTTTGAATATGTCGTTAGTATTGATTTACTTTTATATGCAATGGTAAAGACTTATATCACATACATATTTATATATGTATCCCTGATTAAAATAAATAGAACACATAATTTTTTCGATTAATTCTCTGCATTGTTATTATCTGGTATAAAATCTTAGCAACAGTTTACACAGATTTTTGTTTTACTCTATCTATTCCCAAAATGTCAATCACAAATGATGAGAAATTTGCTCAAGTATTGTCCAAACAAAATTTCATTGTCATCCTGTTGTTAAAGATTTTTTTCGACACAATTTCTGTTCTTTGGTGATCCACTGTCATTTAATGTGTGCGCCATTAAATGGATGACAATATTGATGATATTTGCATATCGAACGATTGGTTTCTCATGTCAATTCTTCGGAAGATATTCCGAGGAAACTCGAAATCAATTAAACGAGTATCAGATTTTGAAAAATATGTCTAGACAGGGCGATTCGCTGCGCTAAGATTCATGATGATTTCAGGTTTCAATTTTATAGCAATTTGACCTTAGAATAATCTAGTAGCAACATTCAGGCTCTGGTTTCTTATGAACCGAGATTTTGAGAGTCTTGCCATTCTAAGATTAGATTGCTGTAAGACTAAAATCTGACATCACCAATGAGATTCAGTGTAGCAAAGCGATCTGTCAGGACCTACTTTTCAATATCTGAAAGTTGGTTGACCGATTTTCAGTTTCTCCCGAATATCTTTCGAAGAACTGACATCAGAAACTGACTATTCGATATGCAAATATCGTCAATTTCGTCATCGTTTTGATGGTATGCTAATTACGTGGCAGTGAAACATCAAAGAACAGAAATCTTATCTAAAGATACTGTAAAATCAGCATGATAACGAAATTTTTGTTTCGACAACATCCGAGTACGTGAAATACAGTTGCACATTTTTCATTATTTGTGATTGGAACTTTAGAAATAGATAGAGCAAAAACATGTGAAAGTTATGGTATAGATTTTAGACAAAAACCCAAAGACTTAACCAAAAAAATTAGGTATTCGATTCACTTTGATCAAGGGAGATATATATACTAAATTCGTATTTTTTCGTCAAATATTCCTATCATTTCTTTTATAAAACAGATGGCTATTCCTCTCTCTCTCTCTCTCTCTGTTTCTTCGCAATAATAAGTCTTAGACATAACTCAGATGCAATTTCAAAATAAACAGAAGAATTTCTAAGTCTTTCCAAGCCTTCGGTTATTTTCAATGACTGACTTTCTTCTAAGATATTTTAGTCCCTATGTTATATAATCGTTTGTTCTAACACAACAGGAATAAACAGTACTTTTTTTTCAATATTGTTTCAAACAGAATAGAGGATGTTTGAGAAAGGATATGTGATCTCACGATTTTGAAAAATAAATACGAAAAGAATAATGCTCATAAAAGCACATATGCTGATTAAAGTGATAAGAAAATGCTTTTGATAACTATAGATATGTCCTCATTTATTAACATTATTCACAAAAACGAGCACTCATTAATATAAAACAACGGTGCTAATGCTTCGTACTCTTAATACAATATTGAATAAATGTGTCATATATTAACAACAGAACACTTTTATTCAGGGTTACAAATAATAATTACGATTGTGTGGCAATCTATAGAGTCGAAACTTCTAGACGTCTAGATCCACTTCGTCTTGAATATATTCAATTATTTGATCTTTAATTTCAAGGTTTTCTTCCAGCGACTTAATTGTGGCTTGCATATTTCGAGTCCTACGTTCGTATACCTCTAGTTGTTTATTCAATAGATTGATTGAACACTTATTGTTCTCCATTGGAGGAGGCGCAAGCCTTCTTTTCTTCATCTTCTATTTGTTCAACAAGCGCCTGTATATCTAGTTAATTTTGAATATAACAATGGTTGATAAAAGACTATCGAGCTTGAAGTGATAAAAAATTACAAACGGATGAACTGCTTAATTGTTGAAGAGAATGTTTGGAGAGAAGAGTATGAGTAAGAACAGCTCGCTAGTCTTTGACGACAATACATTTTACGTCGTTCGAACGATAAGCTTTGCCATAATGAATACATTTGGATACTCGAGAACAGATATGGTCTTTGAGTTTAGCATATTTCTCGTCAAACATATTGCACGTCAGTAGATCTTATTAAGGACAGTTCTTTTTAAAATGGCAGGTACCCATGCATCGAGAACATGTGTAAACATTTGCCGTCGCTAACTATTAGACAACAGGGTATCGTATATTGCCAATGAACACGATAGTGTTCTCATACAATTTACTTGAAATCTGTGTCAGGAATGCATTAGCTGAAAAGTACTTCATTGTTTTCGGTTGGAACCTAACTCAATAAAACTTAATAACATTATATATTTGTACTTCAAATATTATCTTTAAATTAAGTTAAATTCGAAGACAAACTAGATTTCAATTGAATATACTGGTAAACTCTACAACTACTTGGATTCAACTAGCCTTCAATTAAAGTTAAACGCAACTTAATATAAATAAAATAAGATCAGTTGTTTGTTCTCATCTTTTTTCTATTTTTTGTTTTTGAGTCTTTTAAAAATTTTGTTTCATTTTGCCTAAATCTCAACTTTGTGTGGCACATATATCGAGATGAATTAAGCTTACTAAACTTTCATAGGATATATATAAATATCAGTCAGAGTCTATCACGGTCTACTAAAGTTTACAACAATCCTGCATTGTCTGTGTGCGCCTTTCTGTGGCACTCTGAATTTACTGTATGACGTAGAAATTTATTCTGGACGATCTTTATTTCTTAAACTTAACTATAAATTAGTACCCATTGGGGTTCGGATTGAAAAATTTTTCATACATATAATAATATTTTTGTAGTTTATTCTAAGGTTTGTTCGTTTTATTCAAAGAATCGCAAATTTATTTATAAAAAAAATAGAAAAAGAAACAAAAAAACTTGTCCTGACTATAATCTCGGAACATAGTTACTCTTGGAAATCTAGACATCAAACCATATATTATCTAGTTCTGTACTATTGTCTTCATCTACAATATACTACCCATTTAACAGTAAACAATAGAAAAGTATATCGTATTTTCAGAGTATGGATGCAACAAACTAGAATAGACTTATGATTTGCTCATGTAAAAATATCGACAAAAATCTGATTTTAATTGAAATACTTGGTTTTTCATCAATTTTAATTGACTAAAAATCATTAATAGATTTCATCAAAATTTCTCTTTTTTTGTTCAATGA